TGGCTGCGGGCTGGCAGGTGATGGGCACGGACAGCGGTGAACCCCGGGGCCCACCACTTCCTGTTACACGTGACAGAAACTTGCATGTTTATCCAAAGTTTAAAAACTGCTGGTAGGGGGGCCCCCAGGTGGCTCATTCGGTTAAGTGTCCAACTCTTGGTTTCGGCTCCATTCTGTCTTGGGGTCATGGGATCAAACCCCAAGTTGGGCTCTGTGCTCAGTGTGCTTGAATTTTCTTTCTCCCTCGACTTCTGCCCTCCCCTGCTGGCTCTCTCTCTAAACGAAACAAACAGAGGGCTGCTGGGAAAACCCAGTTCTTACCAGGATGGCAAGGGGACGCTGACAGCTGCAGGTGGCAGGGGCAGGATTAGAATCTGGTTCTCCTGCCACCTCCCCTTCCACCCTGTGGGTCAGGGTCTCTCCAAGAACATTGTACCAAGACCACCAGCACTTTCCCAGGAATGTTCCAGAAGTCCATGTTTGTGCTCATCCTAATGCCACTGCACTGTCAGTCCTCCTCAGACAGACTGACACCCTGACACTGAAACCCAATGGGCCAAGCCTTGAAAGGCAGGGGGTTCTGGGAAGAGGGCTGGGAGAGAGCCCAGACCCGGTCCCAGCCCTGGCCTCTGAGGGAAGGGACAGCTGCATGGATCATAAGAGCCCCGGGGTCCCCAGACCAGGGAGGGTCAGACCACTCACACCTCCTGCTCCCTCCTTGGTCTTCGACTTGGGTATTTACTGCTGCACAACAAAATATCTCAGAATTTATCACTGAAACAACGCACACTTAGGAGGATCCACATCTAAGCTCACCAGGTCACTGTTGGCAGCCCTTCAGTCCTCACGGCGGCCGGCCAGAGACATCAGCTCCGGCCGGAGACATCAGCTCCTTGGCCGTGAACATGGGACTGCCCACAACATGGCAGCAGGCTCCTCCTCCAGTGAGGACTCAGAGACAGGAAGGCAGACAGAGAGGGAGCGAGGGCGAGGAGGGAGCCGAAGCCGTTGGGGTTGTAGCCAGGGTGCAGGGTTGCAAGGGCGCCTGACCGGGGCGGGGGTGGGGGGTGGGGGTGGGGGTCCCAAGCAGACCAGGTGCAGGAATGAGTGGTCCTGAAGCAGGAAATGGATCATTTCAGTGATGCCAATGCTGTGAACACAGGAGACTAGGGTCCCAAAGACTGTCTCCAAAGTGTGCAAATGCTTCCAGGTGTATATACGCAAAACGTGGGGGTAACGGTGCGCAGTGAAAGTCAAATTGGTCATTGTCTTGGGGTCAATCGCCGGGTAGTCAGGGTCTTGCTGGCTCACGGTGGTCCTCATGGTCAGGGAGCAGTCGTGGTTCCCACCAAGCGATGCTTTGCCTTCAGGGTCTTCCCCCACAGCCAGAGTTGGAAAATCTGAAGTTTAGGATGGAATAGCCTGGGGCACCTGGGTGGCTCAGTGGGTTAAAGCCTCTACCTCCAGCTCAGGTCATGATCCCAGGGTCCTGGGATCGAGTCCCACATCAGGCTCCTTGCTCAGCTGGGAGCCTGACTCTCCCTCTGCCTGCTGGTCCCCTTGCTTGAGCTCTCTCTCTGACAAAAACAAACAAATAAAATCTTTTTAAAAAGACCCTTCTGAAATATATGATTTCTCAACATTTCCTTCCATTTTGTAGGTTGATATTTCACTTTCTTGATGATTCCAAACTGTTTACCAAAGGTGGGTTTTGTCAGTTGAGAGTCTAACTAGCCGTACATGAATTTGCTTGGTCCACAGTCTCGCTAATAGTTGGAATTTTCAGACTTCAGATTTTTTTCCTCAGGATTTTATTTACTTATTTTGAGAGAGAGAGAGAGAGGGAGAGTCGGGGTAGGGGGAGAGGGAAAGAGAACCTCAAGGAGACCGCCTGCTGAGTGCAGAGCCCGATGTGGGGCTCCATTCCACAGCCCTGAGATCATCGCCTGATCTGAGAGCAAGAGTCAGAACAGGCTCCCCAAACTTCAGGATTTTTGGTGTGGCTTGGCTTGCATTTCTGTGATCAGTCCTGAAGCCGAGCCCCTCTGTGTGTGTTTCTTGGCTGTTTGGATTTCTCTGGAGAAGAGAATCCTCAAGTATTTGTCTGCCGTACCACAGAGTTATTGGTTCTTTACTCACCGACTTCTGGAAATAAGACCCTAGACCTGTATAGGTTTTGGGTGCTGGAAACATTCTTTCCCATTCTGTGATTTTGTTTTTTTTCTTTTTTCATGGTTTGTGTGTGTTTTTGAGTAGATTTTGCTTTTTGAGAGAAGTTTCAGATTCACAGTAAAATTAAGCAGAAAGTATGGAGCACCATCCACCCTCCACACCCAGATGTGCACAGCCTCACTCACTATGGACATCCCACCTGGGCCATGTGCTACATTGTTACCATCAGTGAAGCTACACTGACAATATTGTTTGCCAAAGTCCACGGTTTTCCCTTGGGTTCACTCTTGGTGTTGTACATTCTGGATTTGACAAATGTGTAATGACATCTATCCGCCATTGTAGTGTCACACAGAATTGTTTTGCGACCTTAAAAACCTGCCCACACCCCTCCTACTCCCCCAGCCCCTAACAATTACTGATTGTCTTTTTTTTTTCTAACTGTCCTCATAGCTTTGCCTTTTCTGGAATGTCACGTAACCTTTTCTGATAGGCTTCTTTTATCGAGTAATAGGCATTTACCTTTCCTCCGTGTCTTTTTTGCGGCTTGGGAGCTTACACATGTGATTACTGCATAGTGTCCCATTGCAGGGATGCGTTGACACTGTCCATCCAGACACCTGCGGAAGGACGTTTGGTTGCTTCCGAGTTGGGCAGTTATGAGTAACACTGCTACAGATACACAGGTGCACATTTTTGTGTACATACATTTTCAACTCATTTGAATAAACACCAAGATGCATGGCTGCTGGGTCACATGTTTAGTTTTCTAGGAAACTGCCAACCTGGCTTCGGAGTGACTGCTCCGTTTTGTAGTCTCAGCTGTAATGAATCGGAGCTCCCATCGCTCACACGCTTGCCAGCATTTCGCGTCATCAATGTTTGAATTTTGGCTCATCTGGTATCTTCATGGTATTTTTTATGATGTTCTTAATTTTAATAGGGTTGACTTTGTCAATATTTTCCTTTATAATTAGTGCTTATTGTGCCTTAAGAAATTCTTCCCCACAGAAAGCTGTGAATATATTTTCCCATCATCTGAAAGCTTTATAGATTTGCCTTTTGTATTTCAGTTTTTCATCTGCCTGAAACTTCTTTCTTTCTTTCTTTTTTAAAGATTTTATTTATTCATTTTATTTTAGAGATAGAGAGGGCGCTCACGTGCATGAGCCAGACGAGGGGCAGAGGGAGAGGGGAGAGAGAGAGAGCGATATTTCGGCAGACTCTGCATGCAGTGCTCTGGGCTGGATACCCTGATCCCAGGATCATGACCTGAGCCAAAATTGAGAGTCAGATGCTTAAGTGACAGAGCCACGCAGGTGCCCCAGGACTGTTTGATTTTTTTTTTTAAGATTTTATTTATTTATTTGACAGGCAGAGATCACAAGTAGGCAGAGAGGCAGGCAGAGAGGAGGAAGCAGGCTCCCCGCTGAGCAGGGAGCCCGATGCGGGGCTCGATCCCAGGACCCTGGGATCATGACCTGAGCCGAAGGCAGAGGCTTTAACCCACTGAGCCACCCAGGCGCCCCCAGGACTGTTTGATTTTTAAGGTAAGCAGTTGCAAAGCAATAACCTAACACCCCATCTTAAGCCAGCGGAAGAAGGTGGCTGCTTGTATTCAATACTTTACTGGAGATTCTAGCCAGAATGATCAATTAAGAAAATAAAATAAAAGGCATCCAGATTGGGAAGGAAGAACTATCTCTAGGCCCATATGACATAATTTCGTGCATAATAAATCCTAAGAAATCCACTAAAAAACTACAGGAACTAATAAATGAGTTCAGCAAAGTTGCAGGATAAGAGTTTAACACACAAAAGTCAATTGCATTTTTATACTTTCAAAGAACAATTAAAAATAAAATTAAGAAAACGTTTCTATTCACAGTAGCATCAAAAAGCACATATGATTTTTCAAAAACTCACTACCTAACACCGAGCAGATCTCCTATTTAGAAAACAAGCTGGGGGCACCTGGGTGGCTCATGGTTAAGTGCTTGCCTTCCGCTCAGGTCATGATCCAGGATCCTCGGATCAAGTCCCACATCGGGTTCCCTGCTCAGTGGGGAGTCTGCTCCTCACCGCCCCCTGCTCCCCCTGCTTGTGCTCTCTATCTGTCAAATAAATAAATAAATAAAAATAAAATCTTTTAGAAAAGAAGCTGGCCACCATTACTACCCCAACGGTATTATAATAGGATACCTGTTTCTAAGCCCCGCCCCCC